ACAGCTCCCTCATCACCTCCCTTTCTCCTGCCCCTTTAGTCTTCTCCCCCCCAGGATGACTGGGTGCCAGACGAGTTGGTGGAGTTCCTATGGGCTCCAAAATTAACCCAGTCCTCTCTCCCATGGCAGGCCTTCTCAGGTAGCCCAGACCACCGACCAAGGATGCCATGTAGAGGCAGAAGGTGGCCCTCGCCTTCTCCACTACGGCAAGACTGAACAACTCGGTGCTGGGTTGAAAGCACCGGCCATCAACCCTAACTCCCTCCACCCAGACTCTGCAATGCTCCTTCAATCCTGTGAACTATACTGATAACCTAGCCTGAGGGCCACTGGCCTTATGTTGTCTGTTTTTCCCATGTTCTTGTTACTATAAAGGTTTTACCAGGACATGGTTTAATCTGATATCTGTCTCACCATAGGATCCATTCACCATCCGACTGTCAAAGGCCCTCTTCTTAGTAGTGCTGGCCATGGGCTTCAGGTCCTCCCAGCTCAAGGCATTCACGAGGTTTGACCACTGGACCACCTTCTGCAGTGTCCCTGGCATCTTCTCCCACCTCCCTGACGAAAAATGAGTAGGAGAACCACAGGCTCCAGCCAGTAGCTGCTCCGGCATGGAAGGTACAGGGCGAGCACTGCCAACTCTGCCCAGTCGGGATCCTCCCCCAATACTTCTCTGCTACGGCCAGTCACACCACCAACCAGCATCATCTCTTTGTTCACCCTCGGTCTGTCTGCCCACTGTCAGTCAGAGGATCGGCTGATGGGTTGTGGCAGGCTATAGGGAAAGCCGACTCTGGGAAGGCCCCACGTCCCTATGACGTACAGGGTGTAGCGGCTCCACTGGCTTTCCTGAAGACCCACTCCTTTTCACAGGTCCGGGAAGGGGGTCGGTGGAAATTGGCCTCCTGTTTCAAAGCAAGATACCTGTCTCACTAGGTGTCAGGCGCACCCTGCATGGCAATGGGTCTTACTCCTCGACCCACAGACAGCACGCTAGAAAAAACAAATTAATGTAGCTTAATCTAAGGATAAATAAAGTCAAATGGTCCTTCACATGCTCACTGCTCCCCCTACATCATAGTACCCTCCTTCCTTTGGAACATAGCAAGTGCACTAGCGAAGCTCACCTCACTAAAATAGTGGCGTTGAAGCTTGCTGAAAAGCCTATTTTTGGTGAGTGAATATTCCGAATGTGAAGTGACTGTCATCAAAGGAGTTTAAGATGTCATTAGTATAGGATAACAGGGCACTCTCAGTTGACCTTCTAGCTCTAAATCCAAGCTGAGCATCTGTAAGGATGTTATTGACAATGGAGAAAGAATTTAGTCTACTGCATGCTAGCTTCTCCAGTATCTTACTTAAGGCTGGGAGGACTGATATGGGGTGGTGATTCTTGAAAAGCCCCGGATTTTTTACATGCTGGGTAAACCTTTAGCAATTTTCAGATTATCCAGAAAGACACCACTTGTGAAGGTTGAGTTACAAATGTGTAAGAGAGCAGGTGGGCTACCTTCTTAATGATACTCATTGGTATTTTGTCGTCGCTTGCTGCTGCATCTTTGGGCCTCTTATGGTGGTCAATCATTCATATGCTAGAACAGGGATAAGAACAGCTTATTTTGTTGTCTGTTTTGCAGGTAGGCTCTAAATTCCTCTTGGTGATTAGTGATCCTCTCTGAAAAATATTTGTCAACTTTGATAAAACAGGCATTGAGGTGGTTGGTACTGAGGGAGGGTTCCGTTACAACTGGATCATTTATCATAACAGTTGAGTGGGGGGGGAGGTGGGCGTAGGTTGAGTGTTCTTGTTCTGAATAGAACTGATGATATTCCAGGTTTTCTTACTGTTGTCTGATGCTGACTGGAGCTTATTTGCATAATAGCTACGTCTGGCATTTCTAACTGCTCGAGTTACTCTACTTCTGACACTTCGGTAAGATTCGCCGAAAGTTATGGGTTATTTTGCAATTTTTCTTTTGAGATTGTGTTTTTCTTTTATCATTGCCATGATTTCTCTTGTAATATAGGGTTTGAAGATGGATACAGTTTTTACTAACTTGGTCTTGAAGGGGAAGCATTTATCAAAGCAAGCATTAAAGATGCAAGAAAACTACGTTGAAGCAGCTCACGTTTGTTTTCGAAGGCATAAACAAGATCCCACTTAGCATTCATTAAGTTGTTTTCAAAAAGGAGCATGTTGTCGGCGCAGTAGGCTCTGTATTTTATTGAGACTCTACTAGGCCTTTCAGATCTTGTGGCTGTTTTTTATATGGCAAAAACTGGGAAGTGATCCGATATATTGTTATAAATAATTCCACTTGCAAGATTGTTAGGAGTGTTGTTAGTCCAGATATGATCTATCACAGTGGCAGAGGTGAAAGTTACTCTGGTGGGTTTGGTGTCCGTTTCTGATTTTAGTAGATCAAGGTTGAAATCTCCTGTAATGTAGTAAAGTTTCCTCTCTGAACTTATGATAGAGACAAGCTCCTATAATTTATCAAGAAAGTTCCTTACATTAGCGTGGGGGTCTTCTGTAGATTACTCCTACTAAGATGTTTCGTGTGTTATTACGTAATTCAGTGAAAAAACTCCTCCTGAACCTTTAAGTCATCTCTTACAAATGTGTTATGTTTAATATCAACATAGAGTGCGACACCACCACTGTGTCGTGACGTGTTGACGCAGTGTCTATTATAATTAGGGATGTTATACAAATGTACAATATCGTTAGAGAGTTTGTTCTCACAGAACCTAAGTACATCAGATTTGTGGGCAATAGAAGATATACAGCTATACAGTGATCTATAAAGGTATCTAGGTGAAGGGGGATACTGCTGATGTTATGGTTACAATCGCACGGCTAGTATGTTCAACACTTAATTATTCATATCTGCTCCACCGTCCACAAAACCGGTGTGAAACTGATGAGTTACCCCTAGAGAGAGACGTGTTTTCTCTAGTGATAGGTGCCGTCCATTTTCTCTTAAACATCCTGAAATCTCTCTTACAGTGAGATAAAGCATTCTAGGTGTATTGAGTGTATGGTGAAAGCATCATATATATTTATGTAATCAATCAGTATGTTTATCGTGAACTTACGGAATCACCATTCAACCTGAAATCATATCTTTTTGATCTGTGAATATCAGAGAATCCGATAAGAGTGTTGAAATTGTTGTCAGTTTTGTATTATGGAAAGTAAATAGTCTTCTGAAATGTAAACTGTTTACTGCTTATCACAGGGTATCTAACGGAAAAATCTCAGTGTCTTTAGAAGCTCCGCCCACAATGCACTACCATTTTGAGTATTTGACATCAGTTTAATTCTTGCCTTTGAAAGTTCGGACACTGATTAGTTTAAAAATGAATAGTAAAGACGTCGGGTGCTGCATTCCTTAAATGTGCTATGAAACCAAGTTGACGGCCAATCATAGCTGGTGCACCATCTGTTGCAGTAATAACATTTGTCAGAGGAATGATTTTTTCAGCAAAAAACGTTAAGCCACTTGAAATATTGACAAGCCTCTCGTGTCTGTTGTCAGCGGTTTGGCAAATAATAACTCTTCAGTCACTACTATTGCGAGGTTTATTAGGGCCATTTCTGGAGTTTTACTGTGATGTAAACAGAGTGCCATATCTAACAAAACGTCCCACCACTGTAACAGGATTTTTTTTTGAGATCCCCACATGACACTTGCTATCCATGCCAAGTTTAGTCCACATCGGTAAAGTAGTTTCCGAGATTCTCGTGCGGACACACAGACAAACAGACAGAGACAGACTTCTTTATTATATATATATATGCAAGTAAATCACTGTAGGTGCGCGTGATCTAGGTATATGCTGATAACCACAAGGAAAGAAGAAAACACGAAGTTCCCAAGCGCTTTCGTGTAATTCACATCTTCAGGGGTGAGTACAGACTAAGGAGATACGATACGAAGTCTTTAGTTAAGAGGTGAAAGAAGATTATTAGGGGTTGAAGGAAAAGTGGTGAAACTGAAATACAGTAGGAGTAGAAAGAATCTGGGCTCAACCAGAGAAGTACAAAACAAGGTGTATATATACAGAGGAGGGTGAGATCAGGTCCACAATGGTCAGGTATTAGGTAATGACTTTACTAATCTTTAAATAGCACCGCAACGGTCGGTAGTCAGGTCAGAGGGTAAGGTGACCCAGCCTTCTCACCTGGTTACAAATCTTCTTAATTACAAAATTGTCCAGTTTGTACATGCCATTACTCAAATTCATGTTGAATGCTTCGGTATGTTTAATGAGACTAGATTCTATGATGTTCCTACTATCAATTGAATTACAAGGTAATATTGAGGAGGCATTATCCCAGTCAATGCAATGCTTGTTATCCCTCAACTCACCCCCGAAGATGTGAATTACACGAAAGCGCTTGGGAACTTCTTGGATAAGATTTATCTTATCCACGTTTTCATTGTGGATCTAAATGAATTATATATATATATATATATATATATATATATATATATATATATATATATATATATATATATATATCTTGATAAAATCACACGGGAAAATGGAAACAACGGAGTACCTTATCTTATCCACGTTTTCATTGTGGATTTACATGAAATATATATATATATATATATATATATATATATATATATATATATATATATATATATATATATATATATATATATATATATATGCAAGTAAATCCGTGAATTACACGAAAGCGTGGGAATGTGTTCTTCTTTCCTTGTGGTTATCAGCATATATATATATATATATATATATATATATATATATATATATATATATATATATATATATATATATATATATATACTGTATATATACTGTATATATATACTGTATATATATATATATATATATATTATATACATAGATCAGATTCATGTGGGTGATCAAGGTCGGTTTACTGATAGAGGAATTTCCCCTCACGTGAACAGCACATAGCACCTCACAGCTTATGGAAAATTACAGTGGGGTGATTGGATTGTATAAACTAATTGTATTAACCCAAATTTATATAATTGTTATTGCCGTGAGACAGGGGCTAATACACTCTGGTTTTGTGCACATCATGACAAATTATAGTTCATAACACATTTTTTTCACCTAAGGTTAGAATCAGATAACAGAACCGTGAAAACCACACGTTTTATCTTAGATCACACGAACTACAAACTTGACTCGAGTGTAGCATATAAAGTGTCTCGGTGACAAGAATGTCTGAAGGTGTAGTCCTTAGAAAAGCACCGGTCTGTCGCCAGGCATCTCTAGCCCTTGGCAGCATCAGCACAGTAGTAACTTACAGCTCACCGGGTTTGATTATTCGCTGGGAATGCTTGTGCTTTTTTTGCGTAATGGAGTGCGTTGTCTGGATGCTGTGGATGTCTTCCCATCATCTCTGGGTTGCCTGCCAACAGTTGATGCAAATACTCTTGGTTCACTGGTGGGTTCTGGGGCATGTTGGGTTGTCGTTGCCTCAGGATATCTGCCTGTTTATTCTCTGGCATGACCCCAGGCCCACTCTGTTGAATCTGCTTGTTAGGCCCACTCTGTTGAATCTGCTTGTTAGGCCCACTCTGTTGAATCTGCTTGTTGCACAAGTTGGGATCAGACAGTCTGACCATCAGCTCGTAGAACCTGACATGGCTGAGGTGTCCCTTCAGGCGGTACAGGAGATATATGTCACCAATCTTACAGTTTTGTGTCACTGCATGTACAACCCCTCTAACTTTATCGCTGGCGTGGACAGGCTTAGCGACGCGGAGAAGATAAACTTGGACATATGGAAGCCACATTAAGAAGAGGAAGATGATGTAGCAACAAGTGACAAAGGTGAGAGTGATGATCCACACCCATAGACCCAAGAACAATTTTTCGTATAACTCCATGATGGTCAAGTGACAACCGAACATCTCTGTACGTTTACTTAGCAGCTGATGTTGTTTAGCAATCTCACAAGAGGCGAATGGAGGGAAAGTTTTTGACATGTAGTCGGTGAAGTTGTGTGGGTCCCTCGAGAATGGGTAGGAATTGTAACCGTACTGGATAAATCGTCCCTGGAGCAGGAAGTCGAGAAACTGCATAGCAAAGATGTCTACTAATAGGGCAATGATGTTAACAGTGAGAAATTTCCAGTACAATCCATTGTGAGTCTTGATGTTGAAGATCATGTACCCCGCGGCTCTGTCCACTAGCTCTCTCTCTGCTTGGTCGTACCTATGAGCATTGGCAGCGAGATCTTCCAAAAGTTTCTTGCATTTTGCATTGTCAAGGTTCTTGGATACCTTTCGTGGTATATAATACACTGAAGCTAGGAACGAGAATGCCCACGCTATCCATCGGTAGAAGAGTAAATATCTTTTTTCTCCTTTCTCCACGATGAAGGGGTACGAGAGACAGATGTTGAGGTAGTCGAGGCGGACCTGTGCATCTGCGTTGAAGTGTGACACACAAGTGATGATTTCACGGTGATACCTGAAATATAAAGAAAACCGATATAAACACGGTAATTGAAAATTACGGTAGTGTGAGTGTGTACTATATATGTTGCAGTCAAGGTGTGTAATCAGCAGTTTCGTGTAATGACTAGTCAAGTTGTGTAATGTAAACAATTTTAATCTAATTTAACCTAACAAAACCAAATGAATGCTGTCTTTACGAAGTCTAGTCGTGGTCAGGTTAGAATAGGTAAGGTTGGATTAGGCTTGGTAGGTTTCATTAGGATACCTAACTCAACCTAACCAATCTAATATTAGGTTAAGTTATGCTAGGTTAGGGTAGGTGAGGATAGGATAAAATAGGTTTGGATAGGTTAAAATTAGATTAAGTTAAGAGTTTTTTTTTACACAAGATGGCGAGTCATTTCACGAAATGACTAATCACACACTTTGATTGTAATATATATACGGCATTTACTGTTAAGTGAATATTCAGAAACACAATTTCTCTTAATAACTGTTGCATGAAATTTTTATATATAATTTTACAACAACCACTGAATGCACCCACACACATACTGTACATATATTTTTACTCCGTATCTGTTATGAGATAATCGTAGTTAACTAGTTGCAATCAATTATTTTGTATTGTAATCATAAATAATAAAAATTCAATTGTAGTCATTATTGCAGGCGCAATTATATTTGTCTATTCCCATTGCATTTAATATGAATAAGTCACTTATTCCGAGGATTAGTGACCGATCAGTTATCTCGGTTACTACGGTAAACCCTTTATGTCATGGTCGGCCCGTGTATTACATTTCATAGGAACCGCCAAGCTGAGTGGCTGTACAGGTAAGATCACAGCCTCACGGGGTGCTGGTGTCTGCACCACTGATAGGATTAGGAAGTAGTGAACATTTGTGTTTGAGTACTCGGTGCAGGGTGTGTTATTTTAAACCTACGGTTAGGTTTAAACCTTTTTTTACTGTTTTTATGCACCACTGACATGATCTTTACTACTACTACTACTACTACTTTTTTTAAACTACTCTCCTACTACTACTACTTATGTATTAGGATATTTAATATTAAGGTAATTAAATGGTGGCGAAGGTGTGGCTATTCAAAATTCACTTAAGCTCACGGCAGCCCTCACGGACCACATAATAGCCCAGAATGCAACAGGGGAAGTGGATACCAGTGAAGTAAATAAGATTCGTAGGTCCATTACGACAGATCGACAGCACTGCCAAAATGATAAGTTGCAGCAACTGTTGCTGCAGGTACCAGAAAATTTGAAAAAAAAAGTAGCTATAGCGCAGGAGGTGGGCGCCTCGAACTGGTTAACTACGTTACCGATAAGGGCAAATGGTTTCAGTCTTAATAAACAAGAATTTACAGATGCCATTGCTCTAAGGTACGGTCGGCCAGTAGAAGGTTTGCCCTCCCAATGCGTGTGTGGCTCTTCCTATGATGGCGATCACGCCATGGTGTGCAAGAAGGGGGGGCTTCATATGCATGAGGCATGACGAGGTAAGGGACCTCACAGCAAATATGTTGAAGGAAATCTGCCGGGATGTCATGGTAGAACCGACCCTCCTTCCATTGGATGGTGAGATCTTTCAACACAGGACTTCAAACACATCTAACGAAGCCCGTGTGGACGTCAGTGCTCGAGGATTCTGGACGCGGGGACAGCGAGCTTTCTTCGACATCAGGATTTTTTATCCCATGGCCGCATGTCACCGTAACCTAGCTCTCGATGCTGCACATAGGAGGAACAAGAACGACAAGAGAAGGGCATATGGGGAGAGAATTCATAACGTTGATCAAGGCAGCTTCACTCCTCTAGTGTTCACAACCTCTGGTGGGATGGGACCAAGTGCAAGATGTTTCTACGCCAGACTCGCGGAGGTGATCTCCGAACAGAAGCAGGAGCCCAGAAGTTGTTACAGCCTGTATGAGATGTCGACTGTCTTTCTCTCTCCTTCGGTCGGCTTTGCTCTGCCTCAGGGGAACGAGAGCTTCTGCCCCAACTACGACAACTGCTGCAGATATTGACTATGAGGCGACTGTCACTGAATGCCGCATAGATCTGCGGCTCAACTAATTTAACAGATAGGATAGCTACTTACGTATTAGGATATTTAATATTAAGGTAATTAAATGGTGGCGAAGGTGTGGCTATTGGGGGAGGTTGGAGGCCACGTAGAAAGTAGTAGTAGTAGTAGTATGAAGACTAGTTGGGAAAACATTGTAGGGGGCAGGGAAAAAACACTTTTATTTGAGTTGCAGGCTGCACTTTTCAGGCATCGTTTGTATGGCTGTAACAAACACCTGTGCAAAATTCCATGCCATTTCATGCATACTTACCCTGCCGCATCGCGAACGACTTTTTGTCAACTTTTAGTGTATACCAAAAATTAGGTGTCATTTAATGTTTTCCAGGATAATGATAAATTTTACATGGGTGACATCGATTTAATTCACATGTTATTTTACAGGTACACCGTATAGAAAATCATTACAAGTTCATATTGAAATTCTTTTTTGTGCGGAACCTTGGCATCATTTTCCTAGACAATAATCTTTGCCTAATATATCCATCTCTCGATTCGTATCCCGTCACTTCAGTGCAAGCTTCAGTCATCACTTTTATGCCTCTCGACCGCCTGAGTGCTGTTTGGCCACTTGGGCACCACTAATGGTGTCTCAAGAATGTCATTAACCTGTAGATTTGACAGAGAAGCAATGTAAGGAGGCTCAGTCTTGAGTTCATTCCTCCAGTTAATCATGGAATGATAGTTTTTTGCTTGCCACTTTAGTTTCGGAGTCACCACCTTTCTCATGTTGACTACAGGAGGCACATCCTCATTCCCATCTCCATCTTTACCCTCCTCATCAGTATAGTTTAACAAATTCTCGTCAACAGCAGCATCAGAATCTTCCTCCTCCTCTTCAGATCTGCCAGTGCATTCTTCCTTTTGCTGATTCTCCTCTCTAATTTTTCTTATCATTGAGACAGCTTTTTCTCTAACAGTCATGTCCTCATCTGCACACATACCAAGAAGAAGTTGATCTGTGTGGGCGAAGTATGCATTTCTCTGGACAGCCTTCTTCACTATCGTCTCCTCCTCACTATTCAGGTGTTTCATATATAGCAGGGACTGGAATACGTTCCTTGAGCCGTGTGTTACGTAAGGGTGTATCTTGATGTAAAACCACATTGGAGCACTGAACTTTATTATTGTAATGACAATTCTTTTCAACTCATGGCTGGGTCTTGATGTTGCTACATACAGCCTGAGGATTCTACTCCATAAGGTGTTCCACCTTGACACACAGGGAGGACCTGGCTCAATAGCAGCCAAGTCATCTTCAACAACACCTGTGATAACTCCTTTACAAATCCTATACAGGTATTTCTGATCCCAGGACAGATCTTTCTCCACTTCATCATTAAACACAGGGAAATCAGGGAAACTGACTGGCTGGAAGGCGACAACTGGAAGCTCAGACAAAGACTCCTTGATCTGCTTTCCAATGGGACCACGCCAATGCTCAGGACCACTTGGTTTACCATCATAGTGATAAAAAACTGCGCGGAAAGGCAGCTCATTTCCGTGAAGCTGACATATGAAATAATGGAGCGGGTGACCAAGTAACATTTCAAGATGATGAATGACTCCATTTTCTGATCCTACATTTACATTGGTTCCATCACAACCAACACACACAATGGGCTGCTGGGTTAGATTTTTCTCCACCAGAAACTCGTGAATAGTTTTGGCAATCTGCTTTCCGTGTCCAGTCTTGGGAGTCACATGTGTGAGATATTCATTGCCAGGCTCAACCATGATGACATAATGATCTTTCACCATCATCCTCGAACTCCATTTCTCGGTCTTCTCATTCTTTATCATCACACGAGTGGCGGTCTTCTTACCATCAAAATAGAGTGACGTCAAATTATCTAAACTAGCCATCTCAATTTCTTGCCTCTTAAATCGGTATTTTTGTCTCGCATCCCGCAGCTTATGTGGTCCAATAACCTGACTCTTGTCATCCTTTGTGATAATGCCATAGTCAGTTAAGGTGGCAGTAGCAATGGCAGCTCCAGCATAATCACTAATCAAGTATCGGTCACAAGCGGCAACTTACCCAGGTCTTCCCTACATTACAGTACAGTAACACAACATTGAGAAATGAAATGAGAAAAGGCTGATAATCAATATAGACATAGCACCATACTCATCTGCAACAAGACAACTTAAATGAAATAAGAGATATGAAAGAAAAGTTGATAAACACTGAACAGAACATTGCACCGCCACAGCGGCTGTTTGGCTAGTACTGTAGGTAAATTTAAAAATTTCAGTAGAAAATGCGGCAGACTAAACATCGACATATCAGCTTCAAATTTGGCATGGAGTCTTACATATGTATAAGGAACAATGCCTGAAGAGTGCAGCTTTGAGCAAAATTTCACTGCCCCCTAGAAAACAACCAACAAAACATACAATTCAGACGGTAGTGGGTGGGAGAGTGAAATGAGAAAGGGATAGGGATGGAAGACTTGGTGGTGAAGGAAGGGCATGGGTGGTAAGATAGAGATATAGGTGGAAGAGGGGCGTGGGTGGGAATGGGTTGTGGAAGGAAGAGTGGTTTGAGAGAAGGAATCGGGTGTGAGGGAGGGAAGGAGGATACTTACCACGAGTACCACACCGTGAGGAAGGTACCCAGCAGGAGAAAGAAGGTCCACCGATAGTGCATCCTGAGCACGAGGCCGTCGCAAGTAGCCGAACATATATGGTTGACTTTGCTCTTGATAACGTTTAGGACAATTCCACAGATGGAGCGAATGTCCGCATTACCCGCGCCGATTGCAGGCATCCTTACTCCTGTGGAAACAAGTTAGGGTAATTTGGGTTTTCAAAAACATATTGAAAAAGTAAAAAACAAGTTGAAAGCTATATGATATGAATATAGGTGTTAGTAGAAATATTAGTTGATGTCCAAATCAAGGGACCAAAGTTTTAATGGGTTCAAACCTAACCCAGCATCTAGTGTTGGCTTTCATTCCTAATGGACCTCAAAGTTAATGTTGGGGGTCAAGTAGACTTGTACTGCTGATCCGCATTGAGAGCTGTAATTATATCAGCTCTAGAAACAGATCTAGTTTGAGAGTTAGGAAGAGGGAAGAGTAGAATCATTAGCGTAAGAATGAATAGAATTAGTTGTAGTGTGATGTAAATCATTGATAAAAGGAAGGAAAAGAGTAGGTGAAAGAACAGAACCTTGTGGGACACCACATTAAAACTTAGAGTGATTATCGATATACAGATAGGTAAGTCCTCACATAGCTCAGTAAGGTGAGCTGGTGAAGTTCAATTATTATGAACGACTATCTGGAGAACCCACCTCCCTGCACTACAAGTGTATCTGCATGTCGGTAAAGGCTCCTTTCATCAATACAACTATGATAATACATTCAATATGACGAATATACCATCATCATCATCATCATCATTATTGTATACATGTATTTTGTTTTAATATATTATAGAAAACACAACTCATAGTAAATGGTACCAAAAGAGGTGGGGGGGTGTATTTTGGAACATTCCCTCCAAAAAATTCAGGGGGTAATTATGAATGCACGGGATTCATACTTCACAGAAAACGCCAATGATTTTTCGGGGTAACTTGGGAATTTCTACATATCCAAAATTAAAATTTGGATATTTTCCCCATTGTAGGGTATAATAAGGGTATTTTAGGCAAAACTGAATCTATTTCCTGCTAGGGTTTATTACTTTCCATAAAACTCTTCTTTGGTTATAATAGGATATACAGTATTGCTGTCGATAATACCCTTAATGTTGCCATTGGTTCCTTCATTATCACCTATGGGTAATTTTTTTTGTCTGTAGATATCTTCGATTCATACTTTGTTAAATGCTTGGAATATAACACTGATTGAGTACCAAAACACCAATAGCCACAAATTTTCCGTTAAATTACCTAAATTCTTAAATATTAGTTTATTAGAATAAAAATAGTTTTATTGCGACATACGGCATAACTGTATATCAAGGTTGAAAGATACCACTTCCATCCCACCACTAGTTTTGACGACACAACACACTGCTTTAACTAATTCACTTAGTAAATTTATGAGCTGAAGAAAAGCTATTTTGGATTGAAAATGATTTCCGATTAATTACATGTGCTCTTTTGGTCATCTTAGCAGAATATATAATCATGCTGATGTGTGGCGAAGAGGAGATGGAAGTATGGTGTTGGCACGTTCATTCCCATTGCTTGAAATGCTGAGTATCACTTGTATTTGTATTCTCATCATAATTGCCTCATGGAAATGAGAGGACACAACATTATTCTACCCTGTAAATTATCTGTTGTAATTCATCTACCAGCAACTCAGAGTAGGAGTTGGGTGGTGGAGGCAGGGAGGGTTGGGAAGTGAGGAGTCGAAGGTTCCCCCCCGTGTACAACACAGAGAAGCAACTTTATTATTTAAGAACTTTAAGCATCTGCCATATCGCTTTCCACCATAAAATACACATTTTATGATGATGATGATAATAATTTATGCCGAAGCATAATTTGGTATTATAATGTTTATAAATTAGGTGTTTTGATTATTTTCTGCCCCAAGCAGCAGTTATTTTGGCAAATTTAGGGAGATTTTCTTATAGATATTGACGGAATGCCCCCTCGTGTTTTGAGGGAGTGTGCTGAAATTCTGGCCCCTGTGCTTGCTCGCCTCTTTCGCCTTTGCTTCAAAACCCAAACCTTTCCTTCTTTTTGGAAGCATGCCTTGGTTCAGCCCATCCCGAAGAAGGGTGACCATTCCAATCCCTCTAATTATCGCCCCATTGTCCTCACTTCATCCCTCTCTAAGATTTTCGAAACTATCTTAAACTCTCATATTCTCAGTCACCTTGACCGCCTTTCTCTTTTGTCGGATCACCAGTAAGGCTTTCCTCCATGAAAAATAACAAAGCCTCAGGGCCTGATGAAATCCCAGCTGAGGTATATAAAACAGGAGGAGGACCTCTGCTTACCAGCCGTCTCCACTCTCTTCTGGAGAATATACGGGAAAAGGGGGAAATCCCCCAAGTTCTTAAAGACGCCTCCATCTTCAATATTTATAAGAACATTGGAGGCCTGTCAGACTGTGGCGACTACAGCGGATCTCGCTGCTGTCTGTAGCTGGCAAGATTATTGCTCGGGTCCTCCTAAACAGACATCTTCCTGAGGCACCACTGACATGATCTTTGCTGCCCGCCAGATACAGGAAAAGTGCAGAGAACAGCGTCGTAACCTGTACATGGCTTTCATCGACCTAACCAAGGCCTTCGACTCAGCCAACAAGGAAGCCCTCTGGTGGACCATCAGCTTTTTTGGCTGCCCCCCAAAAAAATTCATCGCCATTGTGAGGCAACTCCACGATGGCATGAACGGCAGTGTCCTGCATAATGGCACCCAGTCTGAATTCTTCCCCATCCAAACTGGGGTTAAACAAGGGTATGTACTGAAGTAAACTATCTTTTCCATTTTCTTGGCTGCCTTCCTTACTTGTGCCAGTGTCAATTTAGCCAGTGGGGTGGACATCGAGTACCGGATTAAGGGTCTTTTCAACATAAGACGACTCCAAGCAAGAACAAAGGTGTCGGCAGCTTCCATTACTGAACTTCATTATGCAGACGACCTCACTCTTGTTGCTCACACTGAACGCGACCTACAAGAGATCCTCAACACCTTTGCAGATGCGTATGCACACTTCTGCCTTGAGGTTAATGTACGAAAGATTCAGATTCTCTTTCAACCTGCCCCTGGTTCAGACACACCTCCACCATCCATCCATCTTAACTGTACTACCCTCTCTAATGTTGCTCACTTTCGGTATCTCGCCTCCTACCTGTCCACCAGGTCTAATCTTTAATTGTACAAGCCATCGCAAATGCAACAGTTTTAATAAAACAGCAACTGTACAGCATCTCCGAATGGGGAGGTAGAAACTTGGTTAAATTCAATAGTAATAAAACTCAGTATTTACCAATTACACTTTCTAAATTAGATGATCCACCAATCACATTTCAGGACGCAATCATTCTGCCAAATTCTAAAATAGATATGCTTGGCCTCACCATTTCCTCAATTTGTCATGAAAGTCACACATCCACAACAGCTGCCCCCCGAAAGCTGGGAATGCTGTACAGATGCCGCAACTACTTCAGTCCTGAGCAGTTGCTTCAAGTACAGTATATAAGGGATTCATTCATCCTAACTTGGAGTACTGCTCTCATATCTGGGGTAGCTCTTCTTCTATCCAACTGTTAGATAGGGTGGAATCAAAGGTATTTCGTCTTATTAACTCTCCTCCTTTAGCTGATAATCTTTCTTCCCTTTCTCTAGGCCGCAAAGTTGCTTCACTCTCTCTCTTTTACAGGTACTTTAACGGGCAATGTACGGTGGATTGGGGATACTGTGTACCGCCGGCAAGGCCGTGGGCTCGTAACACTCGTCTCGCCCGCGGTGCCCACCGTTCTCTGTGGATGTCGGTCACACTAGAATAACCAGTTATAGTACATCCTTTTTTCTTCACACAGCCAAACTGTTGAATGCTCTGCCTTCTTCTGTGTTTCCATACTTATACAATCTGTCTCACTTTAAAAAACTGGTTTTCCGGCATCTTCGTGGTGTAGATTAATATAACCCTTTTCTTTTCTAATTTTAAATTCTTTCTATTCCTATTGTTTCGCCCTCTTGGCCCCGTTGTGGGTCGTTAAACCTGTGCCCGGGTGGGCTAATTCCCGTAAAATTTTTTTATATATATATGGTCTGTGCGTGTGTGTGCGCGCGTGTATGTGTGTGTGATCTACGCATATGGATGGATAAGGGCTAGCGACAGGGGGAAGGAGGTTCAGTGGAAGTTTAGAGAGAGGATGGAAGGGAATTTTTGTGGGAGGGGACAGATGCCGTGGCTTAACGAATCCAGGAAAAAAAGTCACAAGAAAAAAGTCACAGATAAAAAGGCACGGAAAAACCTAACCTAACCTAACCTACGTGCAATGCCATCATATATATATTGTGTTGTCAATGTGTACAAGTCATGTAACTTTTTTCCCTGTGGACTTTATTTCCATCCACCGGCTTAACACAGCTTGCGTGGTGTGGGGTTGTACGTTTGAGGCAGCAGCAACTTGCCTGGACGCGGCGGGGAGGGGGCAGGACCATGAGTCAGGTGAACGTCAGGTGCGTGTCAGGTTGGGCAATGGTTTCTCGGTTGATTGGGTGTGGTGTTTTCTTGGTGTTGTTTGCTTGTTGTGGGTGCCTTGTTAGCTTGAGGTTGACAATCTTCTTTTCCTCCTTCACAGACATGTTAAGAGTCCTCCACAAATGGAATCGATTACGTTTGCCTTGCAAGTTTACAGTATGATTACAATTCCTTCTAAAAGTAATGTAATCGATTATGATTACATTAAAAACTATATTCATGATTCCTACGATTCCAAATTAGGTGATCAAAAGAAAACAAAGTCATGAATGGAGTTTAATACGATATAATAGTGAATATTTAATAATAGAAAATACTTAATTTATTAAGTACATAAATGTAATTGGTACCTACTTATTAATGAGTTTATTCATAGAAAATCATACTCAATATTTCCAAATTCTCGCATCTTATAGAATTTCTGCATGATCAATTTTTTTGTTGTTGCAATTATGATTTTACTATACTTTACCGCAGATTTAAGAACATAAGAATGGAGAAAATTGCAAAGGCGTGTTCGAGTTAATGAAGAAGTTCGGTAACTTGTTCTACTCATCCACTTCTCTATTTCGAAACAAATGTTTACCTATCTCGTACCTAAATCTAAATTTGTCTAATTTAAAACCAGGGCTACTTGTTTGCCCCAGGTTAGATAGCATCTTAATTTGCACTCCCTCGAGAGACGTAGAGTGAGGGGCTACAGTATATGATCGAGGTGTATAAATGGAAGTCAGGGCTGAACAAAGGGGCATTACAAAGGTACTCAAACTATCCAACCAGGGGCGAACTCGTAACAATGGTTTTTAATTAGACAAATTTAGATTTAGGAGCAAAATAGGTAAACACTGGTTTGGAAATAGAGTAGTGGATGAGTGGAACAAGTTACCAAATATCATCATGAACTCGAATACCCTGGATAGCTTCAAACATAGATTGGATGGATATATGAGCAATAGGGGTTGGGTGTAAATGGGACTGCCCAGTATGGGACAATAGGCCCGCTGCAGTTTCCTCCATTCTTATGTTCTTTAAATACACTTGTCATAACACCTTGGTTTAACCCTGACTTCCATTTATACCCATCGATCATATCGCCCCTCACTCTATGTCTCTCGAGGGAGTGTAAATTCAGATGTTTTAATCTGTCATCATAAAAAAGGTTTATACTGTCAGCCTTATCATCATTCTCTAGGGACTCGAACTGCATAATCTAAGTGATATACTGTATAGTCTAAGGATAAACTCCCTGGTCTTGTAACTAGCATTCCTTTGCATGAATCTAAGTACCTTGTTAGCCTTGGTTCGAGCAAATACGCATTGTTGTCTTTGTTTATGATTCCTAACCCTTATTACCCCTAAATTTTTCTCAAAGTCGGATTTCTCTATATCAATGTTGTTCATCTGATATCTGGTTTGTCTGTTTACATCTCCTAGACCAGCGGTTCTTAACCGGGGGGGTACTCCCCTAAAGGGCCAAAGTAATTTTCAGGAGGGCGGGGCGAACGTAGAGCAAAAATAAGGAATGGCCTTAACAGGTGTGTGTATGTCCTTATTTGGATTTTCGTTGGGGGGGGGGGGTCTCGCTCCCCACGGATACCTCAAAATGTCGTACTGTAAATGGTAACTACGTCATTCAAAATGTAAAATTATACTAAAAGTGACTGAATTAAGGTAGTTATAATGTCGGGAACTGTACGATAATTGATGAAGAACCGATAATTTTGAGGCTCCAGTACGATAGTTCACATTTGAAAATTTGTCAACACTGACTGCGACGGTTTCAAGCGCCAGTCGCCCGCGACGTCTGCCCGTGACAACTTTCAATCTCTCACACTCACGCATATCTTTCTTCAATTGAGGTGTGTTTTAGCGTAGACTTCTTATGAACGAAACAATAATGGTGATTATTTGTATTAATTGAAAAGACTGCTAATTGTTTCGTCTTTATAACGAGAACGAAATTTGCCAACTCAAAATGGATTGTAAACACGCATTGTCTACTTTGAGTGGTGTTTATGGCCATGGTTTTAGAATTTTTAGATTTAGAATTTTATATGAAGGAAGGAGGGGACGTGGAGATGAGGACCAACTGCTGTGGGGGGCGCGACCCGAAGAAGGTTAAGAACCACTGGTCTAGATTAAGTACTTTACATTTTGCCACATTAAAGTTTCATCTGCTATTTTTCAGACCACGAGAAAAGTTTGTTTAATCTTCCTGTAATTTTTGGAGTCCTCGTCAGATTTATTAATACAAATGGTAGATATAGGCGTGAACAACAACATAAAGAAATTCGCTGACGACACTAAAATAGGCCATTTTAATGTCGTCAGCAAAATTTCTTATGTTGATGTCCACGCCTATATCTGTCATTAATTTTCACAAGCTCTATTTCATGCACATATTACACTATGTATAAAAAATTATAATATAATAAATAAATTGATTGACAGATTTCTGTTATTTGATGTGTTTCACCCAGTCTTGCTGCCGAGTGAGAATGAGTTGCCAGCGTCACTTGATCTACTAATCCAATAGTTGTCATTGGTCCAAATTACCACTCTTCAAACTGTCGACCAATAATATAACTTATACAACAGGAGTCAGGTCAAGGGAGGGATTAGAGAAGCATTAAGTCCTTTGGGAATTGACCAACTCTGTGTCCCCTGACATGGGTAAAGTCTCGCTGACCTTTGCTCTCCACAATGTCAATTTGATATGTTATGATCATGAAATGTAACCATGAGTATGATTCCTTTTGCCTTGAAGTCGATTGCGAATCCTCAAAAAGTGTGAAATCGATTCCATTGATTACGATTAAAACAAATTTGTTTCTATATGTAAATTAAATATAATTCTGCTGTCATTTAACACGCTAAACACCAAACTATTATCACTCATTAAGTTAAGATAACCACATACTTCATGTAACATCACGTAGTTCATTTACTTACTGTTGGAACGGTATGATGCTCGTGATACCACTGTACTCTCCTTAACGCTTGTAGTCCCACTGGTTGAGTAAGTTGACTAAGCTGACGACACGGCCGAGCGGGCTTGCCTTGAGCGGGCCGGCCCAGCCTAGCTTGCGAGTATCCGGGACTTACCAGATGAGGGTTGCCAGGTGTCAATCTTGCCTTTTTCGAGGTGAGTTGGCCTTTGATTTATTTTCTTGAGGCCAACCACATGTTGGCCTTTTTGGGACATTGCCCACTGTATTTCGTGATATAATTGAATAATTATAAAACATCTTACTATATACGTTCATAGAAATATCCTTTGTCAGAATAGTATTGTGTCATATGCGCCAGTCTTTTCCTGGTGTTGGAGCAATATGTATTCACGTCACTGATGATTTTACGAATAGGGAGGGACGGACATGCATAGGATTTTTAATGCTTGACACGATTTTATTTTTGAAAACTCAATCTCCACCGAGTTGGAAGTACAGCCCAGGTCAAGACGCCTACAACCACAAAATCATTGCCATATGACTCTAGAATATATTGTCGTGATCCCAATATTTATAGCTGGGGAGTGAAACCTACCCCAAGTTATCATCAAATAAAGGAACAAACAGGGAACACGGCACTAATTATCCCCACAAAAACCGACTCAACTGAATGTACTTGAATAAATAAGAATAAGTTGGAGTAAGTGAGTCACAAATGGGAAGATAATTAAATAATTCAATCTATGTTCTTAAAGGAGTACTGTCTAGTAACCATGGAATTTAAGGGAATAAGTGATTGTATATTAAAATAAGAGTGATGCCGGAAGGGTGAAAATATACCGTTAAGGAGTTAAATCAAATGAATACTACTTAACATTAACCATATTAAACACAGACATTAAAATATATACAGCAATCACAACCAACTGGTTATTTCCTACCAAATAGGAGATTCCTTAACCCCAGGATCCCTTCCTAGGCCTAAGTTAACGTGCCACTAATTACCAGATACCACTAGGGTATTGTAGATGACTGAACAAGGCACGTCTGTACTGTGGACAAGTCCTGCCTATAGCCTATACCATGGTTTACTAGAGAGGGAGTCTCTTGGCTCTGGCCTCACAGCATGTGAGTGAGGAGCGTCTTAGCTCACGTGACTCAGGACAGTTGCCAAATAGTCTTATAACTAATTAATACTACTCTTGGTTTGACTAAACAGAGTAACACAAATGATGCATATTAATGACATACATAGATATACAATTAACCTAAGTAACTAAGAACAACAATAAGATAATAGTAAAAATAACAAGTTATTAATAGCTTGTGTGGAGTGGAGGCATAAACAGATACCACACGACATGCACGCTACAGGCACGTGACAATATGAACATAAGAATGGAGGAAACTGCAGCGGGCCTATTGGCCCATACTGGGCAGTCCCATTTGCACCCAACTCTTATTGCTCATATAAGCATCCAACCTATGTTTGAAGCTATCCAACATATTCCGGTTCATGATGATATTTGGTAACTTGTTCCACTCATCCACTACTCTGTTTCCAAATCAATGTTTACCTATTTCGCTCCTAAATCTAAATTTGTCTAATTTAAAACCATTGTTACGAGTTCGCTCCTGGTCAGATAGTTTGAGTACCTTTGTAATGTCCCCTTTGTTTAGCCCTGACTTCCATTTATATGCCTCTATTATGTCGCCCCTAGCTCCACGTCTCTCGAGGGAGTGCAAATTAAGATGCTTTAACCTGTCTCTATATTCAAGGTTCCTAATGCCCGGGATTAGTCTTCTCATTCTCCTCTGAATTCGTTCCAAGGATTCTATATCCATTCTGTAATACGGTGACCAGAATTGAACTGCGTAATCCAAGTGAGGTCTCACAAGCTCAAGATATAGTCTTAAGATGACTTCGCTAGTCTTGTAACTAACACTCCTTTGTTTGAACCCAAGAACTTTATTAGCCTTGTTTCGAGCAAAACCACATTGTTTACTTGGCTTAAGATTCCTACTTATCATTACTAAATGACATCGTTGTTCATCTGGTATCTGGTTTCCCTGTTTACATCTCCTATACTGATATAGTAGGAGACTAGGAGTTGTAGAATTGTTGTACAAAAACAGGATATGCTAGGGACTGTCAGTTGATTGAGAATGTCCAAAGGAGGGCCACCAGACTGGTGCCTGCACTTCGGCACCTCAACTACCCAAAGAGATTGTAGCGCCTGTAATTGCCTAGCTTTTATTACAGAAGGCCAAGGAGGGACCTAATTGGGGTGTATAAACAACTCAAAGGGCACTACTCAGTCAAGTGTCCATACCTAGAGCTGGCAGACGCCCACCCCACAAGGGGTCACAGCTCAAGGTTGCAGAAGCCGAAGAACACCCCACTGAGCCCGGTAGTTTTTAGTTGTCGGACATGCTCCAGAGATCGTCTCCCATGCTGGCCGCATTGAGACCTGGTTCATCCACTCGCCCACTGATCGCAGGTCCCTGGTTCGATCCCCGGGCAGGGTGAAACTATGGGCAAGATTCTTTATGCCATTTGCCTCTGTCTACCCAGCAGTAATTGGGGACGTGGATGTTAAGCGATTTGCTGATCGTGTTTCGAGGTAATGGTTAGCCAGTGCAGTGGAGAGTTGTCTGGTCTTCTTGGACTATTCCTTGATGTTAGGTCATGCAACTTGTTAACTCAATGTGTGGTTGTTGTGATGGCGACAGCTTCTACACCTTAAAAATATTCACGCCTAAGTGGTCCTTGGGCCGGCCATCCTCGTTACAAGAGGGACAACCATTAACTTAACAGTCGAAGATGCTGCCGAGCAGCAGTTGTTTTGACCAGAGGTGTAAGTCTGGTGTAGTAATCCTGACTATATGTGCTACTATCTTTTGTGTACATTATTGTGGATGATTATTGGGAATAATTGTCCCAAGTTGAGTATTGAATCCATAAAATATTACTATTGCCAATATTAGAGTTGCTTGTATGTGGTGAGTGGACAATCTGTGTTCACAGCTGATGTGTTGGTATTGTCCCACGTTGAATATTGAAACAAATATTACTATTACCAGTAACATAATTTGTAATATGGTGTGATTTGACCATCTATACTTCCAGCTGAGGTACTGGCATATGTTTTCTTGAACAGTAATAGGATGTTGCTCAAAGTAATGCTACCAGTCTGTGCTATTGACAAGTGTTTAGAGTGATGTATAATAATACCCTTAAGGAGGTATAAGTATTGAATGCAACTGTTAATCGAAGATCTATTTTTGCTACTTATAAAGTACGACTTATTTGTCAGTTTTGTCTAAGTGTTACAATAAAGTAATTATTGATTGAATCTAGTTTTTGTTGTTGTGGGTAAAGGTTCAGGTTGTCATAATATTCAGAGTTGATTTTAATAAATATTAATTCAGTAGAATGTGGGTATCACTGCTCCTTCCTTCTAACAATTGACATTTCAGAAAATATAATAAAACTTCACTTGCCTAACCTCTCGTGTTTACCACGCTACCACTTGTTGATTCTAGAAGTTATATTCCAAAGAAAAGCCTGGTTGGTGGCAGCCTAAGATACAAGTATAATAATTAAACGAATGTGATTTTCCCAGGTTAATCCACTGAACAGAATATAACTAAGTAAAGCTGCGAATATAAGTAAGAGGGAATACACAAAAAAGAACATTGAAAGAAAGAAGGTTATAGAAGATAAAGAAATAAAAGTTTCCCTCTTTACATGACAAATCTTTCTATCTGGCACAGAACATCTTTGCTGAGTTTCACTGCAAGCGAGCGCAAGAAAGGCATCAGACAACTCAGGCAGAGAAGACCATGCCTCCCAAGTAAACCTTTTTTCCACGTTCTAGGAAGGAGACCGTGTCACACCTAGATATGACATGAAAAATTAGGAGTGCCTTTGTTCCCAGTGGCCAAAATCTTTTTCCAAGGGTATGGATAGTAATGTTCTGGAAGTGCTTCTATGTGCGAAAGTTAACCCAAAGTTCATCAAGATCCAGTCTGTGAAAGAATGCTACTGCCCAAACTACAATACCGATATCAATCAGCATTTGCACAGTGTTGCACTTAAAGAATAACCCTGATATCAGCCTCTTAATGATTTGTGGGTTGAAGATGAGCAGTGTGTCCAAGTTCACCACTTGGCAGCACATATTCGTCTTTAGTTGCCACCAAAATCTTGTTTTCAGTAAACATGCGCTTGACTTCATCAGACAGAAACTGAAGCAACTCCTCCTTGTTGCTGCTGACCCATAGGAAACTTCTTCAGTCAACAGATACAGAGGCTCCAGCCACTACCTTTTGATTGGTGGTAGTACATTTTCCAGCTCTGTGCTCTCTAATTGCCTCCTTTAGGCTACCTTCTAAGTATCTATCCCAAACGATGTCTACTCTTCTGACTGATTGTAGCTGTGACATCACATATCCTTGAATACCTTTTCTGCATGCAGTAGTCTGCAATTGTCTTACATTCATTGGGTGGTAACATGTGGACCACATCGGCTCTATCTAGTACTTTGGCGTCAACATTGGGGATATCAACTACAGATGGCTTTGTCCTTGGTATGAGACATTCCAGTAAATCATATTTCACACCATGTCGCAACTTGCCCATATCAGACAAAGAAGGTGGCACGAGTTGGCTTTCATGTGGAAATAAGTCCTCAGGATTCGCCTCGTCCTTTATTGCTTAATTTATCGGTGTGAAAAAAAAAATTATACCCCTTAATTTGACATTCAACAAGTAACTCGTGAATCTATGTTAATCCAAGTTTCTGTAAATGTTAAATCCGTCCTTTCTGTACATATAAGCGTTATAATTTCTATCAAAGTATCTTTAATACTTCTACTGTTCCCTCTGGCGAGTTTTCTGCTAGTTTCCCTGAATAATATCGCTTTACTCTCTTTTTTTACACCCTTGTATTACATATTCTTGTACCCACTTCAGCCACTTTGATTCTTATGCTCTTCTGTTCACCTAAATAATTAAAGAACGCAACACTGAATTAGCCATGGCTGCCGCACCAGTCCTAGACAGATGTACCCCATTCAGAATGCACGACCCATTTATCTTATCTGCTAATCCACAACTATTAAGGTTTGCTTACCTTCTGAAGTACTGACCATATATTTATCATCTTTGCTATCTAGTTCGTCCTCCAGAAGTGTTGGTACACGTAGCTGCTTTCGTCTTTTTAATCACCAGCCCTGTTGCAATACATTTAAAAGATTTCACCACTTTCCACTGATAAGCAGCATTGCCCACCTTCACCGCTTTCAGACTCTCATTTTTTCCTCCACCTGTACCACACCAGGTCAGGCCCCAGAGAGAAAAACAGTTTGTCAATTTACAGAAGACCACTTGAAGTTTATCCCAAGAGCTAACTGTGACACAATCATCCACCAGTGAGATCAGTGATGTCCCAGATGAAGATGTAAAAGTCAAATAAATGCAGGACGAAGGAGAGGCTTAAACAAAATATTAATGATAGTGACAATGGCAGAATATGCAGAGAGACCGCGTGCATGAACTTAGTATTGCAGTCCAAGTTGTTGAGGGTTGTAGGAACACCTGCTCACTGTTAATCTGGGAGGTGGATCGAGGTTGGGTATATATTAGGGATGTTTTCCTGTTTTGGGGGATTTCAGCAGCTGGTCCGACTTCAGTACTGGAAACACGACCGTAGTTAAGGAAAAAATCTTCTTCCACTGTCAAACTGAGTCTCATTACTTTAAGATAGATACTCTACTGAGCTACATAAGTTGTATATGGATATTTGGTTCAGTAGAAAGCATTAAAATAACACTGAGAATATACCTGAACCTGTTACGTTTAATTACCAGTAATAGCTGGACAGCTGTGTGTCAATTAAAATAGTTCTAGTATAACTACAAGACCAAAGTAATGTGTCTATTATCATACAATGAAAAAAAATTATTCGGTTTTTATTTTTTTCAGCCAGTTAAATAAAAAAATCATCTCCAGCTATGAGAGACACTTATGTAAACCTGTGATTCTGAAGTTTGAAAACAAAGCAGCAGCAGCAAGGTGTAGTGGTCAGTATATTCTAGGATTGTTATCAGTGGAGTGTGATTCTAAAATACCATCCTAGAATAGGGACACGTGGGACTTTTTCACTGGCGTTTGTTTGATTTTACTTGTATATCATCCTGGTCTTCTTATGTCCCAAATGTAATATTATTTTTGTGTCCCATTTCATGGATTAAGGCAGAATTTTATTTCAAATTAATAAGAATATCCAACATTTCCATGCAATTTGACGATTCCTTAAACAAATGGTAAATGATATGTTTGAATATATCTTAGGGGTGCATACATAAGTGTTAAAAAAGTTTTTATTCAAAGATCGTACAAAGTAGACAATTCCTTAGAATCTTCAAAACAAAGTGTATGGTAGGGAGAGACACACACTAACATTTGGCATTACTGGGATCTAGAAAACAATAATAATTACAACAGAGGATTCCAGCTTAAAAAAATATCACTTAAACTTAGGGAAATATCACAGTCTTTTATTAATGATATTGTTCAATGTTTCTCTCTAGCTAAACACTGTTTATTTTCTCGCTGTAAACGACTGAACCGAAAAAAAGCTTCTTTTTTTTATTCTTGAAAGCACTAAAAGTGAGTAGTGAGGGGGAAGACATACAGACTCAACAACACCATCGTCAAGAATGAAAAGTACAAAAAACGTCTCCGTTTTCTTCTCAATTCTTTAACATATTAGAGAATTTAAAGAAAATGATGGAAAGTTTACCGTAAGCCAACTTGGGGAGACAAAAGTGTTCAGAGACTCTTAGTTACGGAGGGTGTGAGGGGACACTATAGTGGGTATGAAGGGCACTGTAGTTGGTGGAAGGGGCATTGTACTGGGTTTGAGGGGCGCTGTAGTGGGTGTGAGAGGTACTGTAGTGGCTGGACCACTTAGAAGAACACGCTGTGGGGGAACATTGTCTGATGGATACTCTAGTTAAAAACAACTGACAAATAAAGGGCTGGGAGTTGTGTAGATCAAGGGTCGGGAGAGTCTTCCTTTACACGAGGGGAGGAGAGCGGGTAGAGAGCTGATACCACCCTCCTCCTTTATGGCTGAAGCGGAAATAACTCAGGACTAACTATTGTACAGTTTCTTTAATGCCTTCAGTGAACTAGATTGGCTCACGCTGATGAACTTTCTAACTCACCACTTCATAGTAAAATAAATAACATTGTTATATAATATTCATTTTTCATATACATAAAGTTTCTGCCTTATTACTTTTTGTTGATTCACACTACAATATATATTTTTCCACTTGATTACTATCGGTGAATTTCCTCTTGGCCGAGTCTCTTGTAACATATTCATAGAAATTTGTTTCCTTCCTGATATGCAGTACTGTATTGTAACGCCACTGCTATCGGAAGTTGTACAAACTAGTCCCTCCCTCGAGCATTGAGGAGACATAAAATTTTCAGCACAATGACCATGCAGAATTATCGATAATCACCCTGTCTTCGCCCGTAATCTCTCCAGAATACTTATAGCTGAGAGATGCTGCCCCGGTGTGCCACGAGATCATTAGATTTGGTGAGCATCCAGAGCAGTCTTCCAGGGAATGGTGTTGTGGTGCGGGGAGCTGAACACACACACACAAGTGTTGGGTTTACAGACCACAGTGAAAGATGTGTCGATTATACAGGATTTGGTCCCTATCTCTATGAACTATTTGTGAGCCTTTCCAGTCCACACCGTTGCTCAGGTCAGCCCATTACGAGTTTTTTGCCCAAGTTCCTATAGTAATTACATTAACCTCTTTCTTTTAACCAAAGAGGTGATGACACATCTAGTCGGCTAACTAAAGCTTCAAGAACTAAAGAGAAAGGCGTTATAATTGCGCTGATAACCACAGTGTAACCAGTATAACTTAGTCATCTTTGAGAATCCATACTCGGGCTTTGTGCACATCATAACAAATAAAAGTTCAACATCACTGCTTTTCACACAAGGATGAAATCAGAAAGTAGAACTGTGAAACCACACGTTATTTGTTAGATCATATGAGCTACAAACTTGACTCGAGTGTAGCACAAAAATGTCTCGGTGGGGTGACAAGAGTGTCTGAAGGTGAAGGTGTAGCCCTTGGAAGAGCACCAGCTCTTGGCAGCATCAGCACAGTAGTAACTTATAGATCACTGGGTTTGACTATTCGATGAGAATGCTGGTGTTTGTCTTGAGTAATGGAGTGCGTTGGTCTGGATGCTGTGGATGTCTTCCCATCATCTCTGGGTTGCCTGCCAACAGTTGATGCAAATACTCAGGGTTCACTGGTGGGTCCTGGGGCATGTTGGGTCGTCGTTGCCTTAGGGTGTCTGCCTGTTTATTCGGCGGAACTTTGTCCTTACTCTCTGGCATGACCCCAGGCCCACTCTGTTGAATCTGCTTGTTGCACAAGTTGGGATCAGACAGTCTGACCATCAGCTCGTAGAACCTGGCATGGCTGAGGTGTCCCTTCAGGCGGTACAGGAGATATATGTCACCAATCTTACAGTTTTGTGTCACTGCATGTACAACCCCTCTAACTTTATCGCTGGCGTGGACAGGCTTAGCGACGCGGAGAAGATAAACTCGGACACATGGAAGCCACATTAAGAAGAGGAAGATGATGTAGCAACAAGTGACAAAGGTGAGCATGATGAGCCACACCCATAGACCCAAGAACAATTTTTCGTATAACTCCATGATGGTCAAGTGACAACCGAACATCTCTGTACGTTTATTTACCAGCTGATTTTGTTTAGCAATCTCACAAGAGGCGAATGGAGGGAAAGTTTTTGATATGTAGTCTGTGAAGGTGTGTGGGTCCCTCGAGAATGGGTAGGACTTGATACCGTACTGAATAAATCGTCCCTGGAGCAGGAAGTCGAGAAACTGCATAGCAAAAAGGTCCACTAATAGGGCAATAATGTTGACAGTGAGAAATTTCCAATACAATCCATTGTGAGTCTTGATGTTGAAGATAATGTACCTCGCGGCTCTCTCCACTAGCTCCCTCTCTGCTTGGTCGTACCTATGAGCATTGGCAGCGAGATCTTCCAAAAGTTTCTTGCATCTTGCATTGTCAAAGCTCTTGGATACCTTTCGTGGTATATAATACACTGCAGCTAGGAACGCGAATGACCAAGATATCCATCTGTAGAAGAGTAAATATCGTCTGGATCCGTCCTCCTCGACGAAGGGGTACGAAAGGCAGATGTTGATGTAGTCGAGGCGGACCTGTGTTTCTGCGTTGAAGTGTGACACACAAGTGATGACGTCACGGTGATACCTGAAACGTAAACAAAACTGTTAAAAACAATGAGTAAGAATATATGTATATACTGTATTATGCTAAATAGCTTAATAGGGATAATTGCCGATTACCAATAACTTCTATGTACAAGTATTTACATTTATTGGAAGCTTCTGACTGGCCGTAAATGATCATGTACAATTGTAGATCATAAAATTACATATAAATGAAAAGTTTCACACAAAACCTAACCAAACCAAACCTGACCTGACCTAACCTTAAACTAACCTACTATAGGTATAATTTTGCTTTATTATGCTGGTAATTGACGCCTCAAATGAAACAGAACATATTTTACCACATACACGTTAATTTCTATTGATTTAGAACAATAAAAACAACAGATTTATCCCTATTTGGCAGAAACCTCATTTGCTTTTTAAGGGGCTTAGGTGGAAGTTCTCTCTCTCTCTCTCTCTCTCTCGGTAATACTCGGTATTAATATCCAAAAGATACATGTTTCTTAATGATTGTTAAGATATAAAATTTTCGATATAATTTTACATATCGATGCACACATAATATATACTCGCATGTGCAAGGATAACATATCACAGAGGCCACATGATAGTTATCATATACAAGTAACCATTAAAAACAGAAACAGGAAAGAATCCAAGTTCTTCCATGATTATGAACATCTTCAGGGATCACAGATATTATTAATCACTAAAATGATTGAATCTTTCCGTGTTTGTTTTTGCTAGTTATAATCAATTACTTGCTGTCATATACATTCCTACTTCTACATTGTGACTTATCACTTCTTAACAAGAACATTTAGTTACATACCAGACCGCTTACGATACATATAATGCAGTCAGTGGTGTGTAAGGAGGTGGTGAGAGAGGGGCAGGAGAGAGGGCGTGGGGTGAGAGAGGGAGGGTGGGGTGAGAGAGGGGGGCGGGGGGAGAGAGGGGATGGGGTGAGAGAGGGCGGGGTGAGAGAGGAGGGCGTGGGGTGAGAGAGGGGGTGGGGTGAGAGGGGGGGGCGGGGTGAGGGAGCATGGGGGTGAGAGAGGGGAGCATGGGGTGGGAGGAGGGGGGCGTGGGGTGGGAGGGTGAGAGAGGGGGGGGAGAGGCGTGGGGTGGGAGAGGGGGCGGGGTGGGAGTGGTGAGAGGGGGACATGGGATGAGAGAGGGGAGCATGGGGTGGGAGAGGGGGGCGTGGGGTGGGAGAGAGGCTTGTGAGTATGATAATGGTGTGAGACGTGGGTGGGAGAATGGTGTAAGGGCGGGGCACAGGTATATGGGAGGGACTCGGGTGTGAAGGGAGGGAAAGGGGATACTTACCACGAGTACCACACCGTGAGGAAGGTACCCAGCAGGAGACAGAAGGTCCACCGATAGTGCATCCTGAGCACGAGGCCGTCGCAAGTAGCCGCACATATCTGATTGGCTCTGGTCTTGAAAGCGTTTAGAACACTTCCCAAGAGGGAGCGAATGTCCACACTGCCCGCGCCGATTGAAGGCATCCTCGCTCCTGTGGAAACAAGTTTTTTGTAAATTTGGTGGTCATAAACATACTGAGGAAGTCAATAACGCATTGAACTCTGTGTGGCATGAATAAAAATTTGGGTAAAAAAATTAGTGGGTACCAGAATCAAGCAATCGAAGTATACTGTATATGGGTTCAAACCTAACCCAGCAACTTGGATATGGTTCCAGTCCTAATGGAGCTCAAATTGTTTAATGGTTGGAAGACTATTGGACATATCCCTTTCTATTAAAACTATAGCATGGACGATATTATAAGAAATATATGGACACGCAATATACAGATAAAGATGATGGTAGGTGTCGTACAGTAACTAGTCTCATGCTCCTGCCTTGAGACATAACGGACAATTAGACGTAACGAATTAGTCCTGCTACGCCAACTAATACAGTGTATGATTTACGTGCAATGTGTAACGTCTTTGATAACAGGTGCCTACAGGAGAGCTCAGCTTCTCAACTGGCTCAGCCATGTTAATATTGTTATTGTTATCCACTCCGCATCTGTGTTTTTCTGGCTTAATAAACTGTTTCAATTCAATTCAACTAAAGCCATTTATGCGACCAGCAGAGTAAGAGTAACACACGGCACGAACAGTCGCACATGAGTTGTCAAAACATAGCCTATTTCTATGTTACCATGTAGTTGTGTTGTTAGCTGCTTCCTGCGGGCGAGGCTCATGATCAGACACTTGAAAACTAAAGACTCACAAGACAACAGCTCACACACTCTCTGCTGGTAGCTGCCTGGCTGACTGCTGGCAGACACACAGTAGGAAAGATACAGTAATTTTCCTGGTATCCAACAAAATATAACGATAGGAAAATCCCCGGCACGTCTAACTAGGAACCTTATGAACACAACGTACAGACACGTGTTTTAGTGCAGGTAGATAGTGACTCCCTCAACTACACCAGCCAGTCATCCATATGATCCACGCTAATTGAAGTTCAGAATAACTCACCTTACTGGCTATGCGAGGACTTATCTACACTAATTTACTTTCAATAGCTTATACATCGATAATCACTGTGTATGTGTGAGCTTGTGTTCACTGTCATGGGAAGGCGCACTAAGCTCCAAACGAAATAATTACACTCACGAACAACAAATGAAGTTCCTTTTTGTTTATAGTACAGTATTTAAAACAAAAATAATAATGCCATCATTTAACACGTTAAACAACAAATTATTATCACTCAGTAAGTATTTCAACACGACTTACTGTAGTTCACTCAATGAATCAACGTGTGTGGTGCTCGTGGTATCACCTCGCAGTCCACCACTCGACTGCACGGCTGCGTAACAATGAGTGGTGTGAGCTGGTCGCTGAGCTACGGACTGAAATCATCTGGGGGTCTACAGTACCAGATGCCGCCACAATCTTGAGTCAGTAAAACCCCCTATTCGTTGCTTACTTGAGCTGCTTCATCCCACCGGAACTTAACATTAGCTGACGAGTATGAATAAGATTTTATCTTACTATCTTTCTCAGGTTATGCTTGGATGAATCGACTTACTGCATATCATCTACTTAACACAGGAGTTCATCTTGATAGGGTTGAAGGGCACAACTTGTTTGGGATGAAATACGAAGTGTAGACACAGCAAAGTTTGTACAGTCGACGACTTTAACTTTATTCAAATAGATTGGACCGACCTTAAGGGTAATACCAAATCAGAGGATTTCCTTGAAACTTTTCAGTGTTGTTTCCTAAGTCAATATACAGTATAGCCGAACGCACCCGGGGTAATAATATACTATATTTAGTCCAGTCAAACAGAGAAAGCCTCCTTAGTAATGTCGAGGCAGGGAGTGAAGTAATTAACAGCGATCACAAAGAAGTGAGATTCAAAATAGGACTTAATGTCAGTTTCAAGTGATAATTGCATAAAGTCCCAGATTTTCGTTGGGCAAACTTTGACAGGTTGAAAAGACAGCTAAAAGAAGGGTTGTTACGCTTGGGGGTTGAATTACATGACCTCACGAGAGGGTGTAAATAACGTGACCTCGCATAATGTGACTGTAGATGGTGACCTTACTTTACCAGGTAACCTGACCACGAGATATGAGGATGACGATTACCATAACAATTTAAATAATTAGTTATTTAATGCGCAAAGACAAAATATACCATACAGAAAATCCAAGTCATATGCCAATGACCCCATTGGGTGAAAGGTTAAGACCGAGATAAGAAAAGCAAAGAGGAATAATGAAGTAAAGGTAGGAAGAGAGGCGAAGTTAACCCCTCAAGAGATTCTTCCAAATGTATCACACTAAAACACGAGACAAGATTGGGCCAATACAGTCAGATACCGGCGAGCTAACTGAAAACTTAAACATGCTACCCGGGGCACCAACTATATACTGAGACAGTGAAGCGGGTTACTAGTGACTCGTAACGATGTTAGCAAACAAATAAACTAAAGCCTAATAAGTCAACAGGTCCCGATGAGATATTTACCAGAGTATTAAAGGAATGTAAAGAAGAGCTTAGTTTGTCCATAGCTAATTTGTTTGACATATCATTAAAAACAGGTGTAGTACCAGAACCCTGTGGGATAGCGAATACGAGACTGATTTTCAAGAAGGGAGATAGATCGCTATCCTCTAATTACCTTCCAATCAGTTCAAACATAGGTTGGATGGATATATGAGCAATAGGGGTTGGGTGTAAATAGGACTGTCCAGTATGGGCCAATAGGCCCGCTGCAGTTTCCTCCATTCTTATGTATTTAGAATGAGTACAGTATTTGTACATGATAGGAGATTGCACTGTATTTGTACACATACAGAGGATGGTATAATATACCAGTAAAAGAAAGAGAGAGAGAGAGAGAGAGAGAGAGAGACTATCGGTTCCTCAGGTCATGGGTTATTCGGTCAGATATACACCTGACTACAGTTTTATAACATCCGGAGCACTTTATGATATGTCACTCACAGAATAGAGCGGCAACCACACTATAACCAGGAACAGGTGGTAAAGTGAGGCATCCCAACGGTCTACCCTCAGCCTGGTGTTAAAAAGCTGTTGTGCCCGACTGTCCAAAGCACAGGAGCCCCTAAGTTACATCTGTCTCGTCAACACAACCCGACCATAAAGAGAGGAATAAATCCATGAAACGGTAAAATCCCCAACATCTAGCTGGAAATACTGTAATTGTTCTCTGCGTACAACATATGGCCTTCAACACGTTACATTACGTCACGGAAGCTTAAAAACCATGTCCTAGAGACAAGGGCGAGTATATAGGTCCAATAAGCTTTTCATATGTTTTCTAGTAATGATTAAACATTATCAATAATCCTTTTCAGTCGTAGTGAGGCCGTATTTTCTGGCCGCCTCTACTAAATAAAGCCTCCAGTCCTCATTTCAAAATAATGCACACACTTACACTTGTTCAACTTACTATTTACATGGTGAAATTATCTGACCATGTTCTCAACTAAGATTCCACGTGAGCCTGTAATGTAAGACACACCTCGGTGTGTTACAAGAGGGGCCAGTTTCTCGATTACAGCGGGCAGCATTGGCAAGGTCGCGACACAGTCTCAACCAAAACATTATGCCGAGCAAACCGATACACAAGGTAAATGCAGACACAATGGCTTCTGATTTAAGCTTACATCATACCATACCAACTAGACCCTATTACTAACACTGTGTAAGATGTCTTATGAATAACAACCAGAGGAAATATTGGTTAGGTTGTAAATATCAATTCGGAAAACTCTTAACAATTGTGCCAGGTCTCGTAATGTCTTGTTTACACAGGAGGTCCGTTATATAACGTAGGTTTCTTTTCGTGTGGCCGTGTGGCAGTAACGTTAAGGGGGTGTTAGCTTAGATTAAATTAAGTTTAGTTGGATTGTTTGATTATCTGGCGCAGTAAACAAGGGATGCTAACCTTCATATGTGCTCCTTGTTAGCCCTGCTGCTGCCGTGCGTGATCCAGTTCGTTACTGACTAGGCTATTACTCGTTTAGTTTACATATGAATATAACATATTGACGATTGTCGCCGTTAAAAATGTTATCAGCCAATTATATGATGACCACGCCACCTCTCCTCTCTCTGTTCATGATTTACTGTATTGTATATAAAATAGACACGAATCTTTCTGGTACACGAAACGAACATGGTTTTTCGTTGTACAAAATACGATTCAGACGTAACAGGATTCGTAACAAATAATACATGCACAAACGCAACAGCCTAGCAGAAGTAAGTCTGGGGTTATTGTTCTACACGGCAGAACAAATATAATTACAAAAATAAAAGAAATAACACTGCGCTTTGCTCTGAACAGCTGTGTGGTGGGGTGGTGTGTAATACTTGAGACGACTGAACAAATACTGAGCAGAATGAAATGTATCCCTGGAAATAAAATATATTCCTAGAAATAGAAGCAGGGGTAGATTTGTGTGTGTGTGTGTGTGTGTCACTTAAAGAAAGGCCATCAAGTTTATAGAGGACTTTGTGAGTGATGAGTTGGAGTTATGAAGGAATCTAAGAGAAAAATGAGGCATGGCTGCCTGATGACCAAGCGTTTCTGACAGTGGCTGATGACCAAACGTTTCTGACAGTGGCTGAAGACCAAACGCTTCTGACACCGGCTGATGACCAAACGTTGCTGACAGTGCTATAGCAATACCCTATGATCCCACATGCTACAAATCTCACCGTTCGTGCCAGTATTCTCACACTCCCATACGAGGTCGACGACGTGGTGAACTTCTGTGAAAGCCCGATTAGCTCCCAGTGTGGTCAGATCAAAGCACAAGGCCTCAGTGCTACATATCGTCACCACTCACCACGCTTCGTCATTATGTTCCTCTCTGATGCCTCGTCCTTACTACACTGTATCGCAGACGATCATCATCTGGCGTCAAAGTGCCACGTATTAATCTTATCTGTCATATCAGAGGCTCGCTATATGGGTGTAAGGTGGACCTGGGTGTAGTGTGGGTGTGTGGT